GCCACAGCCCGTCGCTTCGGCGCACCCAGCACCACAGGCAGGACCGCAACCCATGGCGGCGGTGGTCCCGGCGCAGCAGGCGGTTCCACAGTCGGCACCGCCGCCGTACATGCCAGCGCCGTGCATGCCGCCAGCATAACCTGCCCCAAACCCAGCGCCAGAGCCAGCGTAGCCCATTCCCGAGCCGCCCCAAGCGCCCCCCGAGCGATAGTACGCCATGGCAGGCTGATCAAGACCTGACAGAAGGCAGAAGATCAGGAAAAAGTTGTGCCAGAAAGTCTTTAGCCAAAATGCCCACGGAGGAAGAGATGGTACGATGATGAGGAGGACGGCGAATACGTTTGTGAACATGTTCGTGATGATGAAGTCGAGAGTGGGATCGATGATGGCGCGATCTAAAACGAGCAAGCCTGATGAAACGCGAGCACAAAACACACATTACGAATTTTGACGTGAATTAGTGCCATACTCGCTTAGAGAACGGCAAGGCTGCATAAGCATACACTTTTCGGAGGTTCGCGCGGATCTCTTAGATCGGCGCTGAGATCCGCGCGGAGCTCCAAAAGCTTGTGCGCACGCCGTTGAACCCCCTTCGACCACGAACTCTCTGCCACCGTGCCTCGAACACGTGGTGGAGCGCCCCAAGGCTCATGCAGCCGCAGTTGCCGAGCGAGCCGCAGGATTCTAAAACGGCCTGGGCCCTAGAATCCCAGAGTTCCGCTGGGAGGGCGGCGAGGTCGCAGCGCAGGCGGCTGGCTCAAGGATTGGGCCGCGATAAATGCGGGGGGGCGATCAGTGGGGGGGGCAGCGAGGGCTGCAGAAAGGGGGCCCTCTAGGGCCCCTCGGGACGCCCTTTCGGGCCCAAAGGAAGCCTGTAAGGCCTGAAAAAGGCACCTTTGTTTCCCCCCCAATTATTCCCCGCCGTGAACCCGCGCCCAAAAGGACACCCGGAAGTGTCCGCTCGGACACCCTCGCTGGCGTCCCCCCCTTTCAAACGGCGGGGACTCCGAGCCACCCTCGCGCGCCGGGTCCTCCCGCCGAACGGTCGTTTGCCCCCAACGTCCGCGACAGTGCGTCGCGCACCCGCTTCCCCGCATCCTGGTCCCCCTCCTCCTCCTCCTCCTCCTCCTCCTCCTCCTCCTCCTCCTCCTCCTTCCCTCCTCC